GCACATAATAAAAGTGTTTGGAGCCCAGAGCTGGGGACCAACAGAGTTCCCACACCTGTGTTAGTCCCCTGGACCCATGCTGTATATTCTACCCTTGTGTCTCTGTCTATTTCCTTTTCTCAATCCGTCGTCACCTCCGGGACTAATGGTACACATGTATGGGGTTCAGCTGGTTCCCAACAATAAATGTCAATTTTTTATTTTTTATTTTTGAGACAGGGTCTCACTCTGTTGCCCAGGCTGGAGTGCAGTGACACGATTTCAGCTCACTGAAACCTCCGCCTCCCAGGTTCAAGTGATTCTAATGCCTCAGCCTCCCAAGTAGCTGGGATTACAGGCATATGCTGCCACCCCTGGCTAATTTTTTTATTTTCAGTAAAGACAGGATTTCACCAGGTTGGCCAGACTGGTCTTGAACTCCTGACCTCATATGATCCACCCTCCTCAGCTTCCCAAAGAACTGGGATTACAGATGTGAGCCACAGCGCCCGGCCTCAATTTTTTTATTTTTAAAGGATAGGAGTGCCAGTATGCCGGGCGCGGTGGCTCAAGCCTGTAATCCCAGCACTTTGGGAGGCCGAGGCGGGTGGATCACGAGGTCAAGACATCGAGACCATCCTGGTCAACATGGTGAAACCCCGTCTCTACTAAAAATACAAAAAAAAATTAGCTGGGCATGGTGGTGTGTGCCTGTAATCCCAGCTACTCAGGAGGCTGAGGCAGGAGAATTGCCTGAACCCAGGAGGCGGAGGTTGCGGTGAGCTGAGATCGCGCCATTGCACTCCAGCCTGGGTAACAAGAGCGAAACTCCGTCTCGGAAAAAAAAAAAAAAAGAGTGCCAGTATGTACAGAGAGAGAGAGAGAGAGAAAGAGTGTGTGTGTGTGTGTGTGTGTGTGTGTGTGTGTATACCTCACATACAAAATCTACTATACTTAGTTTTGGCACCATGCAAATTACTATCTGATTATAATCAATTCAGTATGTTTTCTCTATCAGTTTCATATGTGATGCTTTCAAGTCAGAGCACATGGCCAAAGTGAACCAGGGAAAGAGGACAGGGTGAATGGCCATCACACACAGTACTTTATTACTCTGTGGTTTTTAGTTCTGCTATGTACGTTGTGTTCAGCTGCTAATTCAGTAGAGCAAAGTATTTGTCAAAGAATCAATATGCCTTCCACATTACACTGAGAGCATTCTCCTATCTATATGAGAGCTAATCTGCATTACAGAAAAAAATGAGTATTAGTATATGCTGTACTTCTATCCCAGCTACTTGGGAGGCTGAGGTGGTTCCGAAGAGTTTGAGAAAATACTGTACTTCCTTTTGTATCTTTTCCCTTATAGTCAGTCTTTAGCACATATCAGACATTTAATAATACTTTTGAATTAAAATAAATGTAAAAGAGAATTAAGTATATATAAGTGCAGAATGAATGACATAACCAGAAAAGTGAGATTCTTTTGGGAAGAGTCTATGGAAAAGGAATTTTGTGATTTTAGAAGACTCAAAGAAAAGCATAGCAGATCACATATGGGTAATATGAACTCAAGCACAGCAGATCACAAATAGGTAATATGAGAAATGTCATGAGAGTGGGGCAGATAGAGTCTAAGGTGAGTAAATGGAATCAATCAGCTTTGGGAAAAAGATGTAACGCCAGAAAAGTTTGTCTGAGAGTAGAATATACACACAGGAAAATAATTACAGAAATGAGGTCAATACTCTGGGATATGTCATTGCCAAACCTGAAAAGTGGGCCAAAGAACTGCAGTAAGTTCATTTTTGTTTTAACAAAACTGATAAACACTGTTAAATTATGAGACTATTAAATAAATATAGCACAAACTTCATGGGAAAAAAAATGTTTTGAAATACCAGGTGGAAAAAAAGCCCAAATGATAAGATACAAAAGTAAAACTGTAAAATAACCAACTTAGGGTGGAGAAGGTATGTAGGTGACTTTCAAATATTTCTTTTATGATAGAGGCAATGATTTAAAAATTAAATTTTTTTTAAAGGCATGGGTATAAACTGCTGAAAGAAATGCCTCAACCTTGCTGGATATAGTGGGTCACACTTGTAATTCCACCACTTTAGGAGGCCAAGACAGGGAGGCTCGAGGCCAGGAATTCCAAGGCCAGCCTGGCCAACACAGCAAGACCCCAACTCTATTAAAAATATATATATATATATGAAAACAGACTATTACAGTAAAATAGTAAAAAAAAAAAAAAAAAAAAAATTAGCTGGATGCGGTGGCAAATGCCTGTAGTCTCAGCCACTCAGGACACTGCAGTGGGATGGTTGCTTGAGCCTGAAGGTTGAGGCTGCACTGAGCCATGATCATGTCACCACACTCCAGCGTGAGTGACAGAGATCCTGTCTCAAAAAATAATAAATAAATGCATAAATAAAAATTTAAAAAGAAATGCCTCAACCCTACCTAAATCCTACTTTGTCAGCTAAATAGTTTCAGGATGAAACATCTCAAAGAGTCCTAAAGGACAGGACGATACCAACTTCTCACTATTTGCACCAACTACTTCAGTCCTAAGTTGTCCAATGCAAGGAAAAGAATAGGGTTTCTATGCTGCTTTTTCCAAATTCCACAGGAAATACTTCCAGAATCTTTGGTAACAAAGGTTTTAAAAAAGGTATAATAATTCAAACTGGAGAATAATTCTGGAACCCAAAGTACTCACCTTTCGAAGAATATTCAGTCTATACTTTAATTTTAAATTTTCTTCTTGTAACTGCTCCAAATTTGGAGAAGCTCCTAAAGAACCACAGTTTTTCAACCGGTCAATTTCAGCAGTCAGAGATTTAATCTCTTTTTCCTGGGGAAAAAAGGCACTTTTTTCAGTCCGTAAACTTACTTCCACATTTCCCCTCTCCAACAAGGCACGGCATAGACCATGGGAATCATTAATGTGCCCTTTGACCATCTGTGATTTTTTTTCTCCTCTGAGACTTTTGCTGACATTGGCACATTATCCTTAATAAGAAAATACTGGCCAGCATGGGAGCTCCCGCCTATAATCCCAACACTTTGGGAGGCCAAGGCAGGTGGATCACTTGAGGCCAGGAGTTCGAGACCAACATAGACCATCAGTGTTGCTAACACAGCGAAACCCTGTCTCTACTAAAAATACAAAAATTAGCTGGGAATGGTGGTGCATGCCTGTAATCCCAGCAACTTGGGAGGCTGAGATGAGAATCGCCTGAATCCCAGAGGCAGAGGTTGCTAAGAGCTGAGATCATGCCAGTGTACTCTAGCCTGGTTGACAGGGCAACTCTGTCTGGAAAAAAAGAAGAAAAGAAAAGAAAAGAAAGAAAGCAAGCCAGATATGGTGGCTCATGTCTGTAATCCCAGCACTTTGGGAGGCCGAGGCAGGCGGGTCACAAGGTCAGGAGTTCAAGACCAGACTGGCCAACATGGTGAAACCCCATCTCTACTAAAAAATACAAAAATAAGCTGAGCATGGTGGCTCATGCCTGTAATCCCAGCTTCTTGGGGGGCTGAGATAGGAGAATTGCTTGAACCGGGACCTGAGAGGCAGAAGTTGCAGTGAGCAGAGATTGTGCCACTGCACTCCATCCAACCTGGGCTACAGAGCAAGACTCCAACTCAAAAAAAAAAAAAAAAAAAAAGGAAAGCAAAGAAAATGTTACGCACACATATACGTGTGTTGGGAGACAGGAATAGGAGTGTTAAGTGTATAATGAAATATATCTTATATCCCTAGTTTTTTTCTTTGGCTCAATAAGACACTCTCATTTAGCAAGAATACTTAGTTAAATTTCAGGTTGACCAACCTGCTTTTATTCCCAAGTCTTATGACTTGGGACTCTTAAAAAAACCAAATGTCTTTTGTCACATTCAAAATAGCTCAAGGGTCTGCCTTTTACCCCTTCCAGGACTAAACAATTTTCCCATTTCTTCTTACTTCCAGTGTCTTAGGTCCAGGCTTTGTACTTTAATATCTAAAACTAAACACATGTCAATTCAGAAAGAAACAAAGCTTCTAACTTCACTGCAAAACTCAGAGGGAGGATCCTCATCTGAAATTTCAGAATACTTACAGGGAGATAGCTACACCCAAAGCTAAATTGCCATAAATGAGCATACATTATGTTCCAGGAGCTGAGCTAAACACTTTTCAGAAATTACCTTCATGATAATTACAACCCAGTGAGGCAGTCCTTATAACCCCATACGGAGAAATATATGGCTCAGAAACGTAAAGAACCTGCCAATTTACTCGACTAACTTGTACTTTGTTACTGCTGATAAAAGTAATAAAGCTGTAACGAGTACTGTGAACTACTTTCCTACCATCTGTCCCCACCTGGGCATAAAAGGTAATGGAACTGTCCCGCTTTCACTTTCATAAGGTGTGGCTGTTCCTTCCCAACGAATGTGGAGGGCAGAGAGCAAACTCCCGTTGGTCTGATAATGAATCACTCCATGGGCTTATTAGGAATCCTCTGGCTCAGTATCCCGGAAAGAACTGTGGCTAGGCAGCAAACCACGACCCAGAGCTCCTGAGCGTCTCCGCTTTGTTTAACTCCCCGCATCCCCTAAGAAAGCACGTGTGTATGCAGAGCAGCAGGTGGATTGTGGGGAGAAACTTGTTCTGAACATGCCAGGCTCCAGCCCACGAGGACGCTGGGTTGGGGAGGCCTGGGAGAGGGTGGGGACCCTCCATTCCGCTGAAAGTCAAAATCACACGGGCTTTGGAATGATGGGTGCTTCCTCTCTCAACCCTTCCTGCTCCCACAGGGACCCTACCGCCCGCCTCAGAAAGGACCAGGATGGTCCTCGCCTAGCGGTCCCTCCCTCGACACCGTTCGGGCAGGAGCCAGAGCCTGCTCCATCTCTTCCAGGGCTTCCCGCCGGTCTCCTGCGGCCAAACCTGCTGCAGCAGCCGCTCGGAGCACTGAGCCACCACTCCTTCCATCCCGTCAGCGTCTCACTCGCCAAGTGGACGGAAGCGGAAAAGGTCAGCCTCTCCCGGAAGCGGAAACCCCCTCTGGTCCGCTGTCACGTCGGACTAGGTGCTGCCACCTCTGCTGCCTCCTGGTGGGATCCAGGAAACACTACGAGGAGAACCCGCGGGGATGTCGGCCAGAGGACAAGCTGCAGCCCAGGGACATTTGGGTAAGGGGAGAGTAATTGAGCAGAAACGAATCATAGCTGCTCTGTGCTTGGATTGACTTGGACAGGCACTAACCTAGAGCTTCTGGCTCTCAGAGGCCTCACTTTGTCCCTCTGTGAAATGGGCACAAAACTAACCAATCCATTCATTTGTGCAACAAACATTTATTGTGTACTTTAAAATGCCAGACACTATTCTAGGCCCTGAGGGCACAGAGAAAACAAAACAGACAAGATCTCCCCTCTCATGGCAGCTACATTTTAGAGTGCAGTGATAAAATAGACCAAAAAAGGTAATAATCTCAGGTAGTTTAAATTGCCAGGAAGGCAGTGTGATAGAGTGACTTGTGTCAGAGAAAGTACCTTTAAACAAGTGACATTTGAGTTAAAATCTTATTTATTTTTCCAGTTTTATTGAGGTATAATTGACAAATATTGTATGTAATAACGATGTACAACATAATGTTTTGATATATGTGTACATTCCGAAATGATTACCACAATCAAGATAATTAACATTACCATCATCTCATATAGTTATTATTTGCGCGCGCATGCGCGCGTGTGTGTGCGTGTGTGTGTGTGTGTGTGTGTGTGTGTGTGTTTGTGTGTGGTGTGAACATTTAAGATCTATCCTCAGCCTGGGAAACAGTTAAGACCTCATCTCTACAAAAAAAATGGAAAAACAGCTGGGCATGGTGGCGTGTGCCTCTAGTCCCAAATATGTGGGAGGCTGAGGTGGGAGGATCACTTGAGCCCAAGAATTTGAGGCTGCAGTGAGCCATGATTATGCCACTGTATTTCTGCCTGGGTGACAGAGTGAGATCCTGTCTCTATTTAAAAAAACAAACAAACAACAACAACAAAAAAAAACTGCAAGTATACAACATACATTATGTCTCCAGTATTTACTAATCCTGCCTAACTGAAACTTTGTAGCTTTGAGCAGCATCTCCCATCTTTCCTGCCCCACAGCCCTGACAACCACCATTCTATGCACTGCTTCTATGAATCCGAATTTTTTAGATTACACATATGCATGAGCTAATGTAGTATTTGTCTTTCTGTGCCTGGCTTATTGCGCTAACCTAATGTTCTCCAGGTTCATCTAGGTGACAACATGTCATCTATGTTGAAACCATAACAGGGTTTCCTTATTAAAGACTGAATATTTCATTGTCTATATATTGAGTTAAAATTATAAACAGCAAACCTGGGACCTAAGAAGGCAGGGACCTTAATTATCTTGTTCACTCTTCCCTATGACTCCAGAACTTAGAAAGTAGCACTCTCTGAACTTTTTGCCTATGTGCTTCATAAAAGAATTTTAATAATTTGTATCCCATTTTACGCTTTTAAAAGTTGACATCAGGCTGGACACATTGGCTCATGTCTGTAATCCTAGCACTTTGGGAGGCTGAGGCAGGCAGATTGCTTGAGCCCAGGAGTTCAAGACCAGCCTGGGAAAAATGGTGAAACCTTGTCTCTACCAAAAATACAAAACATTCCCCAAGCATGGTGGTGAGTGCCTGTAGTCCTAGCTGTATAGGCAGCTTAGGAGGGAGGATTGCTTGAACCCAACAGTTCAAGGCTACAGTGAGCCATGATTCTGCCCCTGCACTCCAGTCTGGGCAATGAAGTGAGACCCTATCTTAACAACAACAACAACAACAAAAAAACAAAACCTGACATCTCAAAACTCTTATCACTACTTTAAATAGTGAGAACGGATTATTTTTGGCATGATGCTTCATAAGTGCTCTCACTGTATTTTCATCAAAACTGTGGATTTGCAAGTTTAGCTTGTCCAATTTAGGGAAAATGTCTGCCATATTGTTTCATTGGCAAAGCCAGTCCTCTTTGTCCAATCAAATAATCCAAATTATTTTACTTAATTTTTAACCATTTTAAAATTGCCTTTATCTTTTTTCTTTTTAAATTGATTATTTTACGTAGAAGTATATGAACTATCCTTTATTTTGTAAATCAAATAAAAGTGTTAATATAGGGCCGGACACGGTGGCTCACGCCTGTAATCCCAGCACTTTGGGAGGCCAAGGTGGGCGGATCACCTGAGGTTCGGAGTTCGAGACCAGCCTGACCAATGTGGTGAAACTGTCTAAAAAAAAAAAAAGTGTTAATATACTAGTCCTTCCTTATCCATGGGACGTACCTTCCAAAACACCTCAGTGGGTGCCTGAAACTGTGGATAGTACCAAGCCCTATATATATATACTATGTTTTCTCAATCCAGTAATTCAGAAGGCTACTAAGTAACTAACGGATGGGGAGTGTAGACAGTATGGATTTGTTATACCAGGGGAGGATTCACGTCCTGGGCAAGACAGAATGAGACAGTGGAGATTTCATCATGCTACCAAGAAATGGCATGCAATTAAAAACCTATGAATTGGTTATTTCTGAGTTGGTTGTTGAAACCTATGAATTGGTCATTTTCCACTTAATATCTTCGGAATATGGTTGACAATGGGTAGCTAAACCACACATGGGGTGGGGGGGGGGCTGGACTACTGTACATGTTCCTGAAATGGGCTTTGCAAAATTATGACAGTAAGAGACATTTGACATCTTGCTTGTAGCCTCACAGGCTATCTGTCTTTGCCCATTTCTGGGTGTGGGCCAAGCTAACTTTGGGGAAAATTTAGTTTATGGTTAAAATGATAATGGCCCTTCCTCCAAATCGACTGTTCTTGTAAAACTAATGCAAGTAATGAAGCTATGAGGATGAGAGGGGCTTGAATTCCAAATAATTGTCACCTGTCATTCTGGAGGTCAGACTTGCGGCTTCCACAATAACTCTTGCAGACAGGCTCTGAGGGCACAAAGAAAGCAAAACAGACAAGATCTCCCCTCTTATGGCAGCCACATTTTAGAGTGGAGAGACAAAATAGACCAAAAAAGGCGACAGTCTCAAGTAGTTTTAATTGCCAGGAAGGCAGTGTGGTAGAGTATCTTGAGTTGGGTGGCCCCACCTGGACCCACCAGCCAGTCCTGTGGCCCCTAACCAGGAACTGACTCAGCACAAGAGGCAGCTTCAATTTCTTATGATTTCATCTCCAACTCAACCAATCGGCATGCCCCTACCCTACCCCACTGCCCAGCAAACTATCTTTGAAGAACCTCTAACTTAGGAGCCTTCAGAGAGGTTGATTTGAGTAATAACTCCATCTCTTTTTTTTTTTTTTTTTTTTTTAAAGATGGGGTTTCACCATGTTGGTCAGGTTGGTCTTGCACTCCCGACCTCAGGTGATCCACCCGTCTTGGCCTCCAAAGTGCTTGGAGTACAAGCGTGAGCCACCACGCCTGGCCATAACTCTATCTCTTATGTGGTGTGGCCAGACTTGTGTCAACTAAACTCTTTCTTTATTCCAATGCCATAGTGTCCATGAGTCAATTTTGTTTGTGCAGCAGGCAGAAAGAATCCACTGGGTGGTTCCATCACTCTGACACCGTATTTCTAAATTCTGAGAAAAATGGAGGGAGGGATGGACAAGTTGGTGGACAGACAAAGGGATAGGCAGATAGATCTCTATCTTCAAGGTAAAGGAAGAAATAAAAACAATCAATCATTTTGCTAAGCCCCCTTTGTTTAGTGCTCAAGGATATGCCCTCTGGAAAAAATATGTTCTTGAAGTCCCCCTTGTTCAATTCCTGTTAGTTTACACCCAGGCAATGTGGAGTCCTGATTTAGGGAGGTGGAGTCCGGCTGGTGGGAATGAAGGAAAGCAAAAAGAGAAAGCAGATAAGCTATAAGTCTACCTTTCTTTATGGTTCAGGATACATAGTCCTCCTGTGCAAATAACTCACAATCTTCCTGCACCCAGCTATTATCGGACACCTCAGGTGATAGAAAAATGTAAGTTAGCTCACTGCAATCAGCGTTATCCGTACTGCACAAAGTCCTCTTTAACACAGCCCAAGCACCATTCTATCAAATTCCCAGCACTCCTTTGTTTCCTGGAAGTCAGCTCCTGTCTTACTGATTTGCCTGTTGCATCCTTGCAATGTACTTTCCTGCTTTGTCTAATACATCTGCCTTTCTTTACCTACAACAGTCTTGGTAAGTTCTTTTCACCACCTGCATGACACAGCCCCAGATAGTCACTACCCATGACAGGCAATGGAAAGGATGGTATGCTTTTGTTTGTGGAAGGGGAGATGTAAAAGGAGAATTGGAAAACTGAGTTTGCAGGCCAGTCCATTTTAGAAAAGAGTATACAAAAATTCAGGATTCCCCTGATGTATCTGGACCCACAGATCCCTTTGAAGGATTTTCCCAACTGTGCTACATGTACCTCAGGGTACAGAACTTCCCAATCCCCCAACAAAAAAAAAGGGGCAGGGGGAATGGGTACTAGCCTAGGTGAAGAGACTGGCAAAAGTGAGAGCACATAGGAATTTGTAAGTTATACAGGATTTCCTGTACCCTGAGGTACATCTAGCCTAGTTTGAGAAGACCGTTCATCTTACTGACCTAAAGGAAGAAACTGAAGCAAAATTAATATAAGTAGAGAGTCTATTTGGGCCAGGGTTGAGGACTGCAGCCTGGGAGTCATGGATTCAAGTTGCCCTGAATATATGCTCCCATTAGCAGCCGTCACAAGTGGGTTAAAAAATGAAGAAGATGAAAAAGTTAGGATGCAGTTCCTAAGTTGCTTACCAAGAATTTACAACGGTTCATTAAAATAACATAAGCTACCATTGTCTGTACATTGATCTTTGTATCTTAAACACCAGGAACATGAAGATACTAGGTGAGGGTCACACTGTGTAACTTGTGATAATATTGTGGGTAATTTATCAGTTACTCTGAAATTACAGTAAGGGAAAGAGAAAACAAAATGCCTTTAAACAATTACCCCCAGGCCTGGGTGAAGAGAATGTGACAGATCTCTCCTGCGCTTGCCTCTCTGGGCCTAATCAATTTTGCATTCCTCACATTCCTCAGATTGCTCTGAGCCACTTTCTCAGTGTAGAGCAGT